CTGCCGAGACTCACAACTACGGCTGTACTGTCTGTAGGACAAAAGGAGGAAGATGAGGAGGTAGAGGAGGAGGAGGAGGAGGAGAAGGAAGGGGAAGAGATGAGGCTGCGGTGAAAAAGTTTTCAGCGGCGGATAAGTAAACAAAAACAAGAAAAATGGGGGAAAGAAGCGCGAGGAGAGGTCTGGACGGCTGATAGAGGAGAAGCCAGCCGGTGTCGGTCTCTGGTGCACGGTCTGAAAATAACTCCCTAATGACAGATTAAGTGCTCTTAAGCCGAGCGGTGACGACCACACTGTCTGACAGAGTGCGCCCGAGTTGTCCTGACGCGCAGATGGACGGAGAGAGGGCGACAGTCACGAATCGATGATAGTCTATTAATTTTCCTCTTTATAAATATTCAGAAGCTCCGCGCACATACAGAACCAACTGCATCCTGCGTGGAGAGTTGCCTAACACTAAACTGCGACCCCCACAATAAACATCACGCCTTAAACAATGGTTAAAAATATGGAGGATATATTTGTACTTTCTCGTTTTAAGATCAAGAAATACAAAAAAAAAAAAAATGAAAAAATTGATTTTCTAATTGATCACTTTTGATTAAGAGGACAATGACGCGCTTACCTACACGAGCGATTAACGCTTCTGTGACGGTCACCTCCAGCCTGCCTGATGTTTGATTCCCCGGTAGATGTGAAGAAAGAGTTCAGTGAGCTGGTCGCTGACACTGGACGGTGGTGAAGTGGGATCCCGTCCTGGCTGCAGTGACTGAGCCCCCTCTGTGTCCCTTTGTTGTCCGGTTGATGTGCTCCACCACCACCACCACCAACCACCGCTGCTTGTGTGTGTGTGCGTGTGTGTGTGTGTGTGTGTGCGTGTGTGCATGTGTGTGTGTATGTGTGTGCGTAGTGAGCAAGAAGCAGAGGCTGGACTGGAAATGAACTAGGTAGCAGCTGCTTCCCCTCCCATTCTCTTTTCACCCACCTCCTCTCTCCTCCTCCACGTCACTCTGTCGTGATTTTCATTCAGCGCCCCCACCCCTCATTAGGATGCAAACCCACGCTGCCCTCCCCACCACCCGTGCTGGGGATGCTGCCGGTCCAACAACAACCCCCTCCCAGCCCTGAAGACACGCGTGGAGTCGGGGTACGGGGGGCGGATAGGTAGGGGGGGAGGGGGTGGTTGGGGGGTCGATCTTTCCTCCTTGATGTCAATTTGAGAGCTTTTCGTTTTAAACTTCATCAGTTTAAATCCCAATTATGAGGCTTATTTTTCTTCCATTTTCTGAACCTTTCAATGACAAAAAAAAACACATTTCCGGTAAATTCCCTGGTCACAGAAGTTACCTTAATCATCACTCATACTGTATTCATTTCATTTTCATTCCACATATGGGCTACATGCTTGTGAATGTGAATTAATTTGATCAAAGCAAGAAATATAAGCTTTAGTCTATATGTAGTTTGGTGTCTAAAAGGGAGAACCACATCTCATTAAAACCTTGAGACTATAAGCACAGAGCAGCATTATGTTTAACCCACTAGAATCTTTGCATGTGAGATGTTATGTAACACTCTTACTCCATTGTATACACTAGGGGTCTCAAGGCAGCTAAAACCTAAACCATAAGACTCAGGCTATACAGAGCAGCTTTCACAGTGATCCGAATGCAGTGTATGATTTTTCATTTCTTGTATGAAGACTCAGTTGGGATCACACGTCTCACACGTCAGGTCGACTTACAAATGACCCCATAAAGCAACATGAAGGGCAAGAGGATGCTGCTGTCTTTTTTTTCTTCCTATAAGCTCTGAAGTTTGTTTGCATGTGGCAACAGGAAATAGTCTCTCCGAGCGATGGAGGAGATAAAGACCACTGACCTACATCCTGGCCTCTGGAGACCACCTAATTCCACTCTATCACCACTCCCTGATGAACCATCGGAGGGAGTGCGTGTTACCCAGCATTTATCTGTGCCAGTGGTGGTGAAAGTTTCAGCTCCAGTCTGGTGGAATACAGTCCTTCTCTCACTGTATTTGCAGTGGTTTAACACGTGAAAGACACTGCTTTACATGCTGAACACATCACAGCTTTTCGTTTCACTTTATTTGCAGTTATGTAATGTTTGTGATGTGTGTTTGATGCTTGTTTTTAAAAGGTCACATATCATCTAATTCGTCTAATCCAAAAACCAAACTATACCAGACATTTTTAATGGACAAACACAGTATGTGATTGCATCTTTTATTACTGCTTGCGTGAACATGCATACGAATGCATCCAAGTGTGTGACAGTGACAGAAAAAGACTTTGCTTTTCCCCACACGCACAGACACACACAGATTTTTCTATTTTGAGGAGACACACACACACACACACACACACACACACACACACACACAGGGACCCAGTGTGCATCACAAACTGGGGGCTGAGAAAGTGTCCCTGTCTAAATTAATCCTGGGGAATCAGGGCACATGTGGGGGAGACTGTCTTTAGACCAGTGCAAGAAAGATGGAGGACAAGGACAGGACACAGTCAAGGCCGTGGTCTCATTTCCAAAGGAATTTGCAAGTCGACGCTGATATCTGTGTCCACATGTATTCAAGTAACAAGCGAACACATAAAAATGAGAAATGGATTTTAGCAATGCTGTGAAGTCATACATTTGTTGCATTTTAAAAGCCAGACTTTCAGTTTATATATTCTCAGAAGCTATCACACCTTTCAAACTAATCAAACATACAGAATATAGCGACCTATTTGCATCCTCATTTTTGCAGCTGATCAATGACTGACTCGCCAAAATAAAATCATAAGGATATCGGCTTGGTAATATTGCATCCTCACAAGTAATAAAATGGGTGCAATTCTTCATAGGGGCCATCTTTGCTCCTGAAGCATGACAGGGCAATTTCCTGAGATTCAATTGACTTGTATATAAAAAGATGCAGGATTTTGGCAATTGTGAGTAAGGCTATCAGAGTCTCTTTGGAGACTACACAGAGCACATTTAATGTGGATCAGACAATTTTATGATCTGATATCCATCATGAAAAAAAGGGAGAGATGATTACTTTTTTATGCCAAGACCTTCTCTCAGTGACTCATGACTTCCACTTTTTTGATTTTAATAGTTGTTTCAGTGACAAAAAAAAAACAGCGGTTTTGCACATTTCTGCAAATGCATTTATGTGAGGTCATGGTTCAATGATGATCGAATCCCATTTGGAATAATTATGAAAATTAAATCTGTCTTAATTTCACAGCCCATGAAGAGAAACTTGAAAGCCCACCCCCTCAGACTGCTGACAGATGCTACAAAGATACTCTTTCCACTCTCTTACTAATCATTGCATCTTTATGCTACAATAATTTCTTGACAATTTTGCACAACACAGTTTGGCGTGTGAGCATGGGGATGGTTGTAAAAGTCAGAGTCTAAATCAAGTCAATCCCCATGCATATATTTGTTCACGTGTATGTCTGTCAATGTACACATGCACACTTGCAAATGAGTCTTTTATGAGCACACACATGCACTTGCACGCATGCTGAGTAAAGAGAGAATAGCTAACTGAATTAGCATGGCAGCAGAGGTGTGATTCATGGTGTTTTGACACATACTGTAGTGATTTGTCACCATGTTTCACCTGTCGGCAGAAGGGGGGGTCAGGATGCAGCGAGTTGTACGAGAGTGAGCCTGAGCATGAAACAGAGAGAAAAGGAGAAGAGAGGAGAGGATAAAGACGGAGAGAGAGATGGCGCGCTGCAAATGTGCTCACTCTTTCATAAGGGCAACATGGACCAGCTATCTTTAAATTAAGTCATTAATCTAAGACAAACAACCTGTCACTGCAGCACATTTAGGATTATACACCAGCTCAGCCAGCCACACGGTTTCAGAAATAGAAGTGGACCTGTAAAGGAAAAAAAACACCCTCAAACAGAACTCACACTGTGCTGTTATAGTGATTTTAGGCGGGACAGTCAATACCAGCAAATACAGCGCTGGAAATGAGAGCGTTAGGTTGGGACTGATGATGTCATGTTTTATTGAATGAATGAGCTGATATATTATTCTTTAATTGTACCATATTTTAGGTACTACATCCAAATGAGTTGCAATATGCCAACATCTGTATATAGAGCTTTTCCTTTAAGTAGTATCAAGTACTTTCAAACTCAGATTTGTCACTAAAAATATGAGATTTTATTCATTCATGTGAGGGAAGTGTTGAAGGTGGGGCTTTCAGGGTCACGCTGAAGGACAGTTGAGCTGGTCTGATGCTTGGGACTTGATCTTTGCCCCTCTAACTAAAGGTCAGTTTCCTTGCTCCCGCCATCCCAGTCTTGGATATGAAGTTGTAGAATAGATAATACATAAATCATCATTATGAATTCATATTTGCCTGTGACCCCTTTTGTCTCAAAAGCCAATTTTAGATCAGAATACATGAGCTAATCAATACGTCACCTTAAAGACCAATCAGTGAAGAAGAAAACTGTTATATTCAAGATAAAGATAAAAGACAGAGTGATGAATTCTTGCTAGTTTTGGCTGTAAGACCACGTCCTTTGTTTGGAGATACTGTTTCAATTCAGTGTCAAGGCTGACAAGAGCTGCACCCATCCTCCACACTCCTTCACTATCACGAGTGAAACAGCGTCTGGCACTTTTCATATTCACTACAGCGTCTTATATGGATACAGATTTCTCACACCCACATTTGTAAAGGTGGTCAGTGGGTGAGATGGAGCTGACCGGTTGCGCTGTAGATGAATTACATACAGAGTGAGCTGTGGATGTGGTGCTGCTTACGTCGTAGTCGTAGGAGGTGGTGTGTAAAGAAAAAAAAACTGCAGTGACACTAGAAATGTCAGACTCAGCAGGTCTCTGGCACATTAGGAGATGACCTCCACCAGAGCCTGTAATATATAATATTTCTCCTTACAAAGAAACATAAGAAAACAATAATGCCAGACTTTGTTATAAATGTGACATTTTATACCATAAGTTTAATGTAACACTGTATTTGCCATCAACTGTAAAATAAACAATTATGACACTGTGACACATGGGTAGAAAACCTACAAAGGAACTGCATTGTTTCCTCACAATCAGCCTTTGAGAAATGTGAACAAAGCCATAAGAAGCTGAAGGACACAATGAAACATACAATGAAAATATAAGTATATGGAAAATGTCTCCTGCAATCATTCTGGCATACCCTGAAGACCTGTTTTTTTGTAAGGAAAAAAAAAAAAAAGGGCTATAACGCCAGACTTAGGTTAGGGATTGTGTTTCAGGTAGTGCTTTAAGGTGGGTAGCCTGCTTTCCCTTTGGGATTTCTTCTCTTCTCTTCTCTCTGCTGTTGCTCCACAACCACCTTCTTCTTTCACAAGCACTTCTCCTCCGTCTTCCTCTCTTTCTTTTCCTTTCTTAGAGTCAGCCTCTGCCTTCCTGCTGGTCTGCTTCCCTCTATGCACCGAGAGATAAGAGGGAGAGACGCACAGTATGTGAATGAATGCTGAGTTCATTGCCCCAGCAGGATTTGTTTATTAACTGCAATATTAAGTCTAATCCCAAAACATGTCAGTTTACACAGAAATTACAATACAATATGTAGTAAAGATCCCTATTTCCTTTCATTTTCCTCTTCCTTTCTTCACCTACCTCACTTCCTTTCCTTTCCTTATCACCGATTGGCTCTTGTTTTCGCACTCCACCCCTCATTTACCTGATAGAGTTCACCTGGGCACTAGAAGATTATTTAAGGGCTTCACTCCACTCATTCACTCTTTTTCACCTTCACATGGGGCAGCAGTTTCTGGTAAGAGAAGTTTGTTACTCTTTAGTTCTTCTAGTTTGTATGTTAGTTCAGAGAACCTTCTTTATCCTTATTTCTTTAATATGTATATAATGAGAATATTTTGGTTTGTTGTGTTAAAATTTAATAAAATAAATCTTTATTGTCCTTTCAGAACCTGCAGCCAATGTGTGTCTTCTCCTTTCATGTTTGAAATAATTATGAGAATAAAACCTTTGTTGGATTGGATATGTTTAATGGCCTTCGTTCTTTCATCCTGCATCCTGACCCGATGCCCATGGTGATAGTGAATCAATTCTGAACCTCCTACTTAACACAATATTTACCCACAGTATCTCACACAGTTAATGTGGTTAAAGAGATTACCAATATTTTGGTTTCTTTTCTGGTATATGACTTTGTCTTCATTTCTTAGGGCACCTTAGAAAATCTTCCATACCAACTGTTCCCCTTTGTTTCATTACATTTAGCAAGTTAGCAATAAACTCATCACTCAATGCAGCTCTCTAAATAGCTGTAGTAACTAACAGTAACTTTAAAGCTGAATTATTAATTTGGTTAAAGGCAATAACTCTATCCTGTATGTAATGACTCCATATTTTGGTCAATATTTGCTCTAAATTATTTCCTTGTATCTTGTTTTAGCTCAGTGATCTGCCAGTAGACTGGATGAAAATTAGCTCTCTGCTAACTCAGATAAAATGCATCAAACGGCAGCATTTATTTTGTATTTAATATTGCACATAGTCCCTTTTATAAATAAAGAATATGTTAAAATAAAAACAAGCTAGTTTCTAATTAAAGCATTGAGGCACTTTCAAACTGTCACATATGTGAAGCTTATAATATTCCTCATTTTTGAGGCCATAGTTTGTTCATTGAACTGTTCATATTGTATCCATCACCTGTAACTGCTGTGCCTCACTGAGCTCCTCAGTTTGTTGTTTAGTTCCCTCTGTGGCTGAGTGGAGAACTGTCGTCTTTGGGCTTCAAGGGTGGAGGACAGCTGTGGCAGCGGACAGTTCATGAGTAATTAGTGAACTCCAGACACAAATAAATCACATTTAGCTTATGTTTGTATATGTACTGTAAGCAGGCATGAGCCAGTAAAATGCTACTTCAGTGTCCTCGCAGTTGCATTAGTTTCAGCCCTGCGGGAACCAGTGCTGTTGCAGCAGAAAGAAGAAAGTTCTTGCCTAAGTTGTTTGTTTTTTTTGTTTTTTTTAAAAAAGTTATTGAACACACTCACCTATTACATAACAGGATAAAACAGAACTAGAGGATGAATGAGAGAGCCTAACTAGACACGAAAGAGAAGAGCTATAAAGAGCAACTCAGTCAGCTCTATGTACTGTCCTCTTATAGCACTTTACCATGGCAGCAGTTGAATATTCAGTGACTCGTAGTAAACATATTTGGTTTGAGAGCTACTACAGGAGTGATGAACACCACTGTTGACATGGATGGAAGGGAACGCTTACCTTAGCAATCTCTGAAAGATATGCCCGTCTCTCATCATTGGTTTTATGAAATGCCTGATATTTGAAAGAAACAGGGAAGGCATCAGTAAGTCTCCAATGTTAATGAGCAACAGATTACAACAAGGGATTACTGCCTGCACATGCTGCGTGCTGAACCTTCATTCAACTAATATCTTGCTGTTTGTTGAGCAGAACAATAAACAAAGAACCAAATCGCTGAACTAAGAGCATATTGACCCAGTCGTGGCAGCACAGGGACAAAGGTTGAGGTTCCATTTAGCATCAATGGTTTTTAAAAAAAATAAAGAATGCAAAACAAAAATCAGCCAAATCCTTTTCAATCCTTTGCTAATGATGGTCATTTATAACTGAAATATTTATTACCTGGAAAAAAAATGTAAAGCTGTTTGTATAAAAAAATATTAAAACTAGACCAGGAGACATTGTGACCTTCAACAATACTCAGCACAAAATCCTTCTAACAACCGGAACAGCTGAGACCAACACCTTTCCCTCCTGCTCAGTTCTGAGATGACAGTCCATCAGCTGACTCTGGAGGTCACACTTTTCCTCAGTCAGTAGCTTCAGACGCTGGCTCAGTGTTTCCTGCGGCGAAGTGTTTCCATTAATGAGCAAAATTCACAGAGACCACAAAGTATAAAGGTTGTTGTACTGCTGATGTCTGATTACAAATCAGTTTGTACTAGAATTACACTGTGCTATCCACTAGGATCAAACAATAACAATAAGTTAATGCAGAAAACATGAGTACAAGAATGGATTAGGCTCATACATTATTTAATAAACACATTAAAGCTCAGACACAGTGAGGCTACATGAGATTTATAGCACTGTGCAGAGGTTTGGAACAGTCTCTTCCTTGTTCTGTGCCCCAAAATAAGCACCTGTAGTCAGCTGTAAAGATTTCCACTGTAGGCAGTGTGTTTAAAGATGCAACATTTGAAATGTATTACCAGTTTTAATGAATCATTGGAGTTACATTTACATGAGCATTTTAATGTGTGTAAAAACATGCATGTATGCATTAATTCTGTTTATATATTGTATGATGCTACTGTTAATCATCCTAATCAGTGACTGAAGCACCTCCACAACACAAGACATTTTTCCACATTTTTTAGACATTTTTTTACTATTCTAAAGTACAGGTCATTAAAAGTATAAATTATTGTATCTAACACAAATAAGTTAATTTGCTGATGCACAGCACAAGTATTCAGGAGCTGTATGAGCAATGATGCTACAGGACACAGCATCAGTGCTACAAATGTTCAAGCAAGACACTGGGATTATCTTTTATTGTTTATTTATACCCAACACTGTGGCCCTAACATTTATTCACTGCACTAATCAAAAATAATCTATATTCTTCTCACATAGTCAGTCTGTCTTAGTGTCATGCTCACAGTTTGACTACAGATCTTCAGTCCACAATCTTGTGGTCACTCCATGGCCACACTAATGAGCATCTGTTAGTTCTGCCTTAAGGCACACAGACACACACATATTTAGACTGGACTGTGCAACCTTTCAGTGTGTGGTGTGCATTCATGTGTGTGTGTGTGTGTGTGTGAATGTGTATGTGTGTGTGTGTGTGTGTTAAAGCATTGTAATTAGCGTGCATTACTCTCCCATGGTTTGTAATCCTGTGATTACAGTGCTGTGATTAAACTCTGGTTTATTCAGCCAGCATCAGCGGGAGGATGGAGGGCAGCTGGCATTACAATCCTCTCTGTCCCGCCCGCCTTCTCCCCTCATTCGGTGTCTCTGGCTCTCTCTGCTGGTATGTGCTTCTATCTTACACACAGTGGGGTCCAAAAGTCTGAGACCACATTCCCATTCACTTGAATAGGAACGTGGTCTCAGACTTGGAAAAAAAACCCATAAACACAAATACAACAAAACAGATCACTCACTACTGTCATGTCATCGTAAGATCGGATGGAGGCCAGTCGATCTGTGAAAAACAAGAGTGTGTGAGCATTAAAATATAAACTTGCTTGAGATGCATGAATATATATGTCTTCCTTAATTCTTAAAGATTAAGTTGTTGTTATACACTAATACAGGTAAGAGTGTAGATGGATTTGAAGAGTATTCAGGGTGGTGCCTTCATGATTTTGGGAAATTCTAAACATCCAATACTTTAAAATGGGAAATGTCTATCAAACAGAGGGCATTCAAATATATTCACACAATTTATACTATAGTTTTCAAATGGGGACATTGTGAATTAAATGGCCTGATGTATCATGCTGCACTTAACTGTTCATGTTGTATATTATATACTATATGTAATATTTTAAGAACTCTTCTCAACACCCCTCTTCTTTCTTCTTTCAGAGCAGACAGATGTGTACTATGGATCTAGAGCTTGCCCCAAAGTGGTTTTGGTATTTAGTGTTACTATAGGTGTATTGCAATGATACAGCTCTTGGTGTGGAGAAAGTAAACCATCCTGTACTCTGATGAATTGCAATAAAAACAACAAATGTCCTTGCAGCATAAACTCCTTTAAAAGCTGACACCAGCCTGTGAACTTACCCATGGGGTTGCCTCGTAGGTCCTCCAGTCTCTCATGAATGAGTGAAATCTGTCTTTCCAACTGTCCGTTTAGCTCTATCTGTGTCTCATACCTGGTCTTCCACTCATTCCCTGATACATCAGAATAGACAGAGGAAATTGTCAAATTATATTACAAACAACACTGAGGAGTAGCTAAGCTGATAGAAACCAGTGGATACCAGCGAAGCTGAACTTAGGAATTACCTGGTTTTCTGCATTAATTGGTCATAAATGTGGTCTGATCTTCATCTAAGTCACAAGGGTGGACAAACACAGTGTCTAGTAAGACACAAAAAGTTAAATAGTCTCCATTTACAGACAGTTTGTGGACTGATGAATATCTAAACTCTTTGAGATGACTATGTAACCTTTTCATCTTTATGTAAATCAATAATTTTGATTGTAAATCTTGTAAGGGCTATTTTTTGTGAAGCATGGTTCACATTAGCAGATACTCAGTGAATAGTGAACTCAAAATGTTTTTATAAGTCAAAATAGCTCTAATCTCCAATCTTGTTTCATTGATTGGACTCCTGGTTTGATTACTCCTGGCTCCAATCAGGTTTTGTTGTCATTACCCTGTATGGATTCACATCCTTTTTCCAGCCTACACTGTGCATATTTGAATGATGTTTTCAATATAGACAAGAAATACACGAGTAGTTGAAATAGATTATGTTTGTTCAATATTGTAACTTAGATGAAGATCTGACAACATCTTAAGAGAAATGTAAAGGGTATACAAAGATAATTCCAATGGTTTCACTTACTTACCTACGTTATATTTTCTAGCCACTGTATAAAAATAGATATGCTATTAAAAATCACTTAATTATTACTCACCTTCTCCATCAACACTGTGTAGTCTCTCTTGCAGTTCACGCATTGTACTACGCAAGTCAGACACTGATTCTTCCAGCATCTCTCTACAATCAATAGGCAGACGACGCTACGTTTGAGGTGGAAAACAACATTTTATATCCTTGGGTGTAGGTCTGCATATGGATGGTAGGGACATGTCCCTTTACTATACTATAACGTTTTCATGACTTTTTATGCCTTATGATACTATGTGGTTTTCATGACTTTTTATGTCTTACGACATTTTGATGCCTTGCTATACTATGTCGGGTTTTTTTCTTTTCATGTCTTACTATACTATATCGTTTTTTTGACTTTTTATGCGTTAATATACTGTCTTTTTCATGCCTTGCAATACTATGATGTTTTTATGACCTTTTATGCCTTAATGTATGATGATGTTTTTTTGAATTTTTATGCCTTACTATATTATGCCATCTTATGCCTTGCTATACTATAACATTATTATGACATTTTATGACTTAATATACTGTGACCTTTTTTGACATTTTTACACCATCCTAAAAAATATGTTTTTTGGATTTTTAATGCCTTACTATATTTTGTCATCTTATGCCTTGCCATACTATGACGTTTTTATGACCTTTTATGACTTAATATACTACGATGATTTTTTGCCATTTTATGCCATACTATATTATGATGTTTTTTGACATTTTTATGCCTTATTATATTATTTCGTCTTATGCCTCGCCATACTATGACGTTATTATGACCTTTTATGCCTTAAAATACGATGATGTTTTTTTGAATTTTTTGCCATACCATACTATGACCTTTTTTGACATTTTTATGCCATCCTGTAAAATGATGTTTTTTGGCATTTTTATGCTTTACTATCCTATGTAGTTCCATGCCTTGCAATATTATGACGTTTTTATGACCTTTTATGCCTTAAAATACGATGATGTTTTTTTGAATTTTTTGCAATACCATACTATGACCTTTTTTGACATTTTTATGCCATCCTGTAAAATGATGTTTTTTGGCATTTTTATGCTTTACTATCCTATGTAGTTCCATGCCTTGCAATATTATGACGTTTTTATGACCTTTTATGCCTTAATATATTATGATGTTTTTTTGAATTTTTTGCAATACTATACTATAACGTTTTTTGACATTTTTATGCCTTATTATATTATGTCGTCTTACGTCTTGCTATACTATGACATTATTATGACTTAATATACTATGATGATTTTTTCCATTTTATGCCATACTATACTATGACCTTTTTTGACATTTTTTTCCATCTTATAAAATTATGTTTTTTGGCTTTTTTTATGCCTTACTATACTATGTAGTTCCATGCCTTGCCATACTATGACGTTTATATGACCTTTTATGCCATAACATATTATGATGTTTTTTTGCCATTTTATGCCATACTATACTATGACCTTTTTGACATTTTTATGCCATCCTATAAAATGGTGTTTTTTGGCATTTTTATGCCTTATTATATTATGTCGTCTTACGCCTTGCTATACTATGACATTATTATGACTTAATATACTATGATGATTTTTGCCATTTTATGCCATACTATACTATGACCTTTTTTGACATTTTTTTCCATCTTATAAAATTATGTTTTTTGGCTTTTTTTATGCCTTACTATACTATGTAGTTCCATGCCTTGCCATACTATGACGTTTATATGACCTTTTATGCCATAACATATTATGATATTTTTTTGCCATTTTATGCCATACTATACTATGACCTTTTTGACATTTTTATGCCATCCTATAAAATGGTGTTTTTTGGCATTTTTATGCCTTACTATATTTTGTCGTCTTATGCCTTGCCATCCTATGACGTTTTTATGACCTTTTATGACTTAATATACTATGATGATTTGTTGCCATTTTATGCCATACTATACTATGACCTTTTCTGACATTTTTATGCCATCCCATGAAATTTTTTGGCATTTTTCACCTTACTATACTATGTAGTTTCATGCCTTGCCATACTATGATGTTTTTATAACCTTTTATGCCTTAATGTATTATGATGTTTTTTTCTTAATTTTCTGCCATACTATTCTGTGGCATTTTAGGGCATTTTTATGCCTTACTATATTATGTAGTTTCATGCCTTGCCATACTATGATGTTTTTATAACCTTTTATGCCTTAATGTATTATGATGTTTTTTTCTTAATTTTCTGCCATACTATTCTATGGCATTTTAGGGCATTTTTATGCCTTACTATATTATGTCGTCTTATGCCTTGCTATACTATGACATTATTATTACCTTTTATGACTTAATATACTATGACCTTTTTTTGACATTTTTATGCCATCTTATAAAATGATGTTTTTTTGCATTTTTATGCCTTACTATACTATGTAGTTTCATGCCTTGCCATACTATGATGTTTTTTGGAAATTTTATGCCATACTATACTATGATGATTTTTTGCATTTTTATGCCTTATTATATTATGTCGTCTTATGCCTCACCATAATATGACGTTATTATGACCTTTCATGCTTAATATATTATGATGTTTTTTTGGATTTTTTGCCATACTATAGACGTTTTTTGACATTTTATGCANTGTCGTCTTATGCCCTGCTATACTATGACATTATTATGACATTTTATGACTTAATATACTATGATAATTTTTTGCCATTTTATGCCATACTATACTATGACCTTTTTTGACATTTTTATGCCTTATTATATTATGTCGTCTTATGCCCTGCTATACTATGACATTATTATGACATTTTATGACTTAATATACTATGATAATTTTTTGCCATTTTATGCCATACTATACTATGATGTTTTTCGGCATTTTTATGCCTTATTAAATTATGTCCTCTTATGCCTCGCCATAATATGATGTTATTATGACCTTTTATTTCTTAAAATACTATGATGTTTTTTTGAATTTTTTGCCATACTATACTATGATGTTTTTCGGCATTTTTATGCCTTATTAAATTATGTAATCTTATGCCTCGCCATAATATGATGTTAGTATGACCTTTTATGCCTTAAAATACTATGATGTTTTTTTGAATTTTTTGCCATACTATACTATGATGTTTTTTGACATTTTTATGCCATCCTATAAAATGATGTTTTTTGCCATTTTTGCCATACTATACTATGATGTTTTTTGACATTTTTATGCCATCCTATAAAATGATGTTTTTTGCCATTTTTGCCATACTATACTATGATGTTTTTTGACATTTTTATGCCATCCTATAAAATGGTGTATTTTGGCATTTTTATGCCTTCCTATATTTTGTCGGCTTATGCCTTGCCATCCTATGACGTTTTTATGACCTTTTATGCCTTAATATATTATGATATGTTTTTGCCATTTTATGCCATACTATACTATGATGTTTTTTGACATTTTTATGCCATCCTATAAAATGGTGTATTTTGGCATTTTTATGCCTTCCTATATTTTGTCGGCTTATGCCTTGCCATCCTATGACGTTTTTATGACCTTTTATGCCTTAATATATTATGATATGTTTTTGCCATTTTATGCCATACTATACTATGATGTTTTTTGACATTTTTATGCCATCCTATAAAATGGTGTATTTTGGCATTTTTATGCCTTCCTATATTTTGTCGGCTTATGCCTTGCCATCCTATGACGTTTTTATGACCTTTTATGCCTTAATATATTATGATATGTTTTTGCCATTTTATGCCATACTATACTATGATGTTTTTTGACATTTTTATGCCATCCTATAAAATGGTGTATTTTGGCATTTTTATGCCTTCCTATATTTTGTCGGCTTATGCCTTGCCATCCTATGACGTTTTTATGACCTTTTATGCCTTAATATATTATGATATGTTTTTGCCATTTTATGCCATACTATACTATGATGTTTTTTGACATTTTTATGCCATCCTATAAAATGGTGTATTTTGGCATTTTTATGCCTTCCTATATTTTGTCGGCTTATGCCTTGCCATCCTATGACGTTTTTATGACCTTTTATGCCATAACATATTATGATATTTTTTGCCATTTTTGCCATACTATACTATGACCTTTTTTGACATTTTTATGCCATCCTATAAAATGATGTTTTTTGCCATTTTTATGCCTTACTATATTTTGTCATCTTATGCCTTGCCATCCTATGACGTTTTTATGACCTTTTATGCCATAACATATTATGATGTTTTTTGCCATTTTTATGCCTTACTATATTTTGTCATCTTATGCCTTGCCATCCTATGACGTTTTTATGACCTTTTATGCCATAACATATTATGATGTTTTTTGCCATTTTTATGCCTTACTATATTTTGTCATCTTATGCCTTGCCATCCTATGACGTTTTTATGACCTTTTATGCCATAACATATTATGATGTTTTTTGCCATTTTTATGCCTTACTATATTTTGTCATCTTATGCCTTGCCATCCTATGACGTTTTTATGACCTTTTATGCCATAACATATTATGATGTTTTTTGCCATTTTTATGCCTTACTATATTTTGTCATCTTATGCCTTGCCATCCTATGACGTTTTTATGACCTTTTATGCCATAACATATTATGATGTTTTTTGCCATTTTTATGCCTTACTATATTTTGTCATCTTATGCCTTGCCATCCTATGACGTTTTTATGACCTTTTATGCCATAACATATTATGATGTTTTTTGCCATTTTATGCCATACTATACTATGACCTTTTATGACATTTTTATGCCATCTTATAAAATTATGTTTTCTGGCATTTTATATGCCTCACTATACTATGTAGTTATATGCCTTGCCATACTATGACGTTTTTATGACCTTTTATGCCTTAATATATTATGATGTTTTTTGCCATTTTTTGCCATACTATACTATGACGTTTTTTGACATTTTTATGCCATCCTATAAAATGATGTTTTTTGCCATTTTTATGCCTTACTATACTATGTAGTTCCATGCCTTGCCGTACTATGACGTTTTTATGACCTTTTATGCCATAACATATTATGATGTTTTTTGCCATTTTTTGCCATACTATACTATGA